AAGCCTTCAGGCTTATGGTCCAAGGGGTTTGAGAAGAATACAGTCTGACAAGGTGAATCTCACATTCCAGCCTCCAAATCTGCACTGCCTGCAAAACCCTGGGCGCATAGGGAGACATCTTGGCATTTGAGTCCATGCCTGTTCAGTAAGAATGGGCAGGTTTGAGCCAGTTCTAACTAGATGAAATAAAAGTGGTCTAGCTGTAGTGTCAGGCCCTTGGGGAAATGAAATGCGCAAGTGTCTGTGTTTTCAAAGGCAACACAAAGGAGGTTTGGCAAGAGTGTGGGGAACATCTTTTAGGTACACTGTGTGCAGTGAATGTTTAACTTTGAGGGCTTGCAGTTCTGTATGGTTATCTTCAATGACAGAAGCTTGGATGTGTAGTTTATGAACACTGAAGTAGACCGTCATTCTAAGTACTATATTCCCCCCACAGTTCAGCTGGAAATAAAACTATCTGATATGAACTGCTACTACCAGTGATACCGCTCTTTGTTAAGTAAGCTGTCAGATTTATTACATCTTAACAATGGTCTATTTACATATGATAAGTACTGATAAAGTTTGTTTGACAAAACTGTTTCACAGATGATAAACTTTGAACTTGATCATGAAAACAAATATAACTAGTAGCCACAAGCTGCAGGAAAAAAAAGACATATACATAGTTACTGCTGTCTGTTCGATGTGAGATGTGCACCACCCTGTTTTTCCCTGTTCTATTTAATGAAGCATGACTAAGGCTGATCCATATGGTCTGCAGACCTCAGAGCTTTGAGCTAAAGCACTTCTCTGCCTTTCTGAAGGTTAAGTGGTAGGTCACCTCTCACACTTCACTGAGAGCCACATCCTCAAGTTCAACCGCACCATCCTCTAAGGCCATCTGGCCATGTCTACAGAGAAACCTGTACTGGAAAGTACTGATAAAGTTCAGTATCACAGTGTTTTCTGAATATAGCTTGGTATATGATGATGCTTAACCCTTTAAATGGCCATACATTTTATTACACACTTTTATAACCTAAGAATAGCTCATAGCTGCATTGAAGTCCCTTTAGTGATTGAATAAGTCTTAGTATGTAATTAAGCTGGGATTTTAAGGGGTTAAGTTAGCAGTAATAAAGTTGATGAACCTAAGCTTCCTGAGTGCTGGTGCTCTATGCTAAAAGAATATCTTACAAACCTGGTATGGCTTGTTTTGACTGACTGTTTTTGCTTTATCTTCTTTTAAAATCAAACAAAGGGGACCTTAAACAGTATTATTAAAAAGTTAACCAGACAAAAAACACATTTCCAGAAACCATGTACAAACCTCAATTCCATAAAAGTGGGGCAGTATGTGAAATGTAAATAAAAACAGAAAGCTATGTTTATCCACTTTACAAAGACTTGATCTTTAATGCGTCACCCTCTCAACTTCATTGGACCTCATTTGCCAACCGTTCTTAAGAAGAAATTTCTTCTTAAATACCACTTACGCAGTTTTCACGAAGATTCTGATGTTCACCAATGTTTTTTTAATTAGGATTTGTTCTCAGGTAAGAAGAGAATCTACACATATTCAAGAGCAGAAAGGAGTGAACAGTTCGGCACTTTAAGAACACGTCATGAATCTGACAGACTTTTTCTTAGGACCTTCCTCAAGAACACATTTAAGAAAACACTTAGGAAGATTTTGGTGAATGAGGCTCATTGTTTTTTGCATATATAATGTAATTTTGAAATTGATGCCTGCAACATGTTCCGAAACAGTTGGGACAGGAACAATTTAAGGCTAGGAAGGTTTTTAAATGTTCTAAAAACATCTTGAACATGTGATGCAATCATGGATGGGTATAAAAGGACCTTCAAGGGAATACCTAATACATTATAAGCAAGCATGGGTCAAGGCTCGCCAGAAGATTTAGAACAACGTTTCTCTATTAGCATTTGCAAGGATTTTAGGTATTCCACCTTCTATGATGCAGAACATCACTATAAGATTCTGTGAATCTGCAGAAATCTCCGGGTGTGAAGGGCAAGGCTGAAACCACAACTGAATGCCAGTGACCTTTAATCCATCAGATGGAACTTCATTAAAACGCATGCTTCTGTGACAGATTGGTTATGGAAATAATGGATGTGTTCTCCAAGCCAAAGAAGTAAAGGACCATCCAGATTGTTACCAGTTCAAGTTAAGTTCAAGAGCCAGGGTCTGTCATGGCATGAGTAACCTGCACATCTGTGAAGGCACCATTAACACTGAAGGACAAATACATTTTGGAGCAGCATATGCTGCCTTCTAGACAACATATTGTTCAGGGACGTCCATGCTTATTTAAACATGAAAATACAACAGCATGGCTGTGTAATCAGAGAGTGCAGGTGATGGACTAATGCTTGCAGTCCAGACCCGTCTCCTATTGAAGACGTGTAGCGCATAATATGATAAAGGCCCTGTATGGTTGCGAAGCTAAAGACTTCTATAAGGGAAGAAAGGTGAAAAATTCTGGAAAATTCC